CAGAGCTCCAAGGCCACGGCACACTCGAGTCGGAAAAGGGGTGTGAAGTCCCAGAAACAGCCTAGCCAGAAGGCCCCTGTTGTGCAAACCCTCCACTCCCCCACCTTCCAGAAGGGGGAGGTCACGCCCCACGGGGCACCCAAAGATGGAGCACATGAAGTGGCTCAGCGCCAGGCTCTGGGGTGAGCCGGGGAGCACACCCCAGCTGGGAGACAGACCCTCCCTGCGCCCCCTTTCCTCATCTGCAAACACAGTTGTGCGAGGATGTGCCGGCCGGGTGCTAGAGCTAAGCCGTGAACCCGGAAGCACTGCGCTGTGTTGGCCGCCATTATCGTGGCCTTTGGAAAGGTCTGGCTGTGAGACCATCCTGCCTCATTCCCACCGGAATAGTATTATTAGCTAATATTAATTGAGCACTTGCCTATGCCCACACAGCTTATGAGGGAAAAGACTCAGGCTCGGGGCAGTGATTTGTCTAAGGAAAGCCCGCACAGCCAGGCCAGGGAGTGGCCCGGCTGGGAGGCTAATCCCAGCTCTAGCCACCGTGTTACACTGCCTCCCAGGGGCCCAGCTCCGGCATGGAGCAAGGCCCCCGCGTCCCCAGGTCTCCAGTTTCCTGTCCGTGCAACAAGGGGTTGGACGGTGACTCAGGAGGGTCCCTCCCACACTCACTCTCTGGATCCTAATTCCGTCCTCGAATGCCCCAGAGACTCTATGCCAGCCCCACTTCCATAATGTCACACAGTCCTTGGAGAGGGAGAAGTGAGCCTCAGAGAAGGGATGCCACTGGCCCCGGGTCACTCTGCAGGCCAGTAGCAGAGGCAGGTTCGAACCCAAGGCTACCAATTCCACAGCCTGCGTCCTTTCTCTAGAGACCCCCTCGGCAGAGCTCATGGCTCCTACTTGTCCCGTCAACAGTGTCTTAATCCTAACAGTGACAAGGGAATGCAGAGAAAAACACCCAGGAGGTGGCAGAGCCCATCCTCTGCCACTTGGCCAGGTGTGGCCTTGGACAAGTGCTCTCTGCCTCTCTGAGCTTTGGTGTCCTAGACCTTAAATGAGGTTCAAGGTCCCTGCCCAGGGAGGCCACTGTGAGGATGAACAGGGAGAGGAAAGAGAGGGGCACGGAGGCTGTGTGGCTTGTCGTGGGAGGGCGTCCCCACGTCCTCTTCCTGAAAGCACTTTCTATCGGTGCTCAACATGGCCCCTCTGTCCCTCCCTCCTGCCACCCCCTATAAGAAGACTGACAGGAGGAATCCAGGAGGCTGGGTTCTGGTTCATTTGCTCACCGGGGATGTTAGGCTCCTTTACAGCCCTTCGTGGGCCTCATGCTTCCTACGGACAAAGCAATGGTGGTGACGGCCTGCACTGAGCCAGGATCTGAGCAGGCCCTCGGCGAAGGACAGCCTTCCCTTTCCTCCACCCCAGCGCGCCCCATCCAGCTGCAGTGGCACGAGGCTGGGCCTCCGTGTGCTATCTGCGCAATGAGCAGGTGGGACAGCTCGTCCCAGGGACCCTCAGCTCTGACTACACACATGCCAATTCATAAAGCACTTCTCAGCTGCCTGCTTGGTTTTATTTTTAAAAATTCACTTTGTGCTTGCACAATTCAAGCTGCAGAAAGCCCAATGTGCGTCCTACAGCTGAAGAGCATCTCAAGGGCAGGACATGGACGCTGTTCGTCTTTCCAGGCCCCAGCTCGAGCAGATGGCCGCTTACCCACTTACTGCCACTCTGCCCGCTCCCTGGCCCTGCCACCACTCTCCACGGACCAAGGAGGCTGCTTTTTCCCCTCCAGGTTCCCGGTCTCATCTGGACACTGGGGTGCTGACATCTGCCTCTCCCAGGATTGCTGGCCAGGGTGTGCGCCAGGGAGGGGCTGAGAGGTCTGGGTGGCCTGCAGGACACAATGCTCCCCAAGATCGTCTCATTCCAACCCTTTGCCCAAAAGTTATGGGGAAAGGGCACTGGTTTTGCAGTTAGATGGACTTGGGTCCATTCCCTGGCTTTTCCGTTGCCTGACTGTGTGATCTTCACTTCTCTGAGTCTCTGTCTCCTCATTTTTAAAAGTGATCATGATGATGGGTAATGTGTACTGAGTGCTTACTCTGAAAATTAATAAAGGAAAACTTCGCTAGCGTGGCACCGGGAGGCCAGCAGGGGGAACCCTCACATCACACCACTGGACGTCAATTACAGGAAGCGGTCATTCAGACCCCAACAGAAGAACCCTCCACAGGAAAGAATCGTCATTTATAGCTCCCAATAGGAAAAGATGCACACTGCATCTCCTACAAGAGACTGACTACCCCAGCAACTCAGTCTGTGGGAAACCGTCAGCGCCCTCAACTCTTGCTTTTCTCCAGCTGGGCTTTCCTTCAGAACAACCCCTCCCAATTTCCTCCCCTTCTCCATAAAATAATGTTCTTCTCCTTTATTAAGGACCAGCTTATGGGTTTTGCCATAGCTTGTTTGTCCCACATTGCAATTGTCTGCCATTCCCAAATAAACCCATTTTTTTTGGCTGGTAAAATAACGGATTTCTTTTTAAGATCAACAACTCCATGCTGGACCCTGCTTTAAGCAACTTACAAACTCGTTCAATCCTCGTGACAACCGAGAGGTAGGTACTATGGCCCCCATTTTGCAGATACATGAGCTGAGGCATAGAAAGGACAAGTCACCGGGCTAGCAAGGGAGGAGGTGAGACTCAGCCAGGCTGGTGAGGGATGGGAGCCCAAGCATTAATCGCTGTACCCTGCAGCCTCAGAAAAAATCCCGGGACAGTATCACTCCCAGGGTAGGGCACTGAGCCTCCCCATGTTGGCCCTGAGCCCAGATCAGGGTGTCCCCTGCCAGTGTTGGCTGAGCAAAATAAAACCAACTCAAGAGTGGGTCTCCCTGGAGGAGGTCCCGGCCTTAAACCCCAAGCATTTGGCTGAGGAGCCAGGGAAGGTCCTAAGTCTCCTTTCAATCTGCTGGGGAGTCCCGCTAGGGTGGAAGGGCCCTGTGCCAGCACCCACCTCTGTTTACACCCAAGACAGCAGGCTGGTACGTTCATTTCTGCCTCTGCCCACCCCACTCCCCCACCGGCTCTGTTAGCCTAGCTTCGGGCATCCCCATGGGTGGTTAGCTGCAGCTGGGCACTGCTGTTTCCGATGCCTGTCTGAGCTCCCCCCAGCTAGCCCCAGTGGAGAACAGAGCTGTAACTCGGGCAGATGAAACCTCTTCTCCCCAGGCCTCAGCTGGCCCACCAGCCAGGCATGGCACCAGGGTCTCCAGGGAGGAGCAGGGAGGGTGGCTCTGAGGCTCTGAGGCTCTGAGCCGCTGCTGGTGTCACCCCCACACACATCTGCTCCAGCCCTGTGGGCTCAGCACTGTGACTCACCAGGACGGCTGAGGAAGGAGGCTCAGAGAGGCTAAGTCACTGGCCCAAGGCCCCACACTGAGGCCCAGGTAGAGCAGAGCTCCCATGCAGCGGGCTCAGGCTCCAAGGTCTGCCCACGCCCCTGTGCACCGGGCCGGGAAGGGCTGCTCTGCCCCCCGTCGGATGTTCGTGCTCCAGATCTCCAGGAGGCTCTGCGTGGAGTCTTCTGCAGAAATCTCACACCTGCCAGGCATCAGGGCTGCTCACGGTGGGCTCCCACTGGACAGTGTGTTCCCAAGCTTGCCTGCTCCCCAAGTTCTCCCCGTAGCATGTGTCTGTCCCCAGCCTGTCCCCACTCTCACCCTGGGCTGCAGAACCCTCCCCCCGCCATCAGCAAGGCTGCTGTGCCAGACCCTCAGCACCTCACAGAGCCGGCATGTTCCTTGGGTTTTTATAACTTAGGTGCAAACAGCAAACCACACAGATCTTAAGAACAGATCCTGAACGCTTCACCTCAACTGTCCTTGATTCTTAAGCTGACCTATAGGAGAATGGTCATCATCATGACTGACATTCACTGGGGGCTAAGAAGATGCCACACGGCACCCTAAATGCATTCCATGTATTACGGCATTTATTCCTGGAACCGCCTTTAGGTAAGGACCCTCAAAGGCCCCATCCTACAGATGAGGAAAGAGCTTATAATTCTGGAGCCTTGGTTCAAATCCTGTTCCTCTGCTCACCAGCTGTGGGCCTCAAGCAACTAACCAACCCTCTGTATGCCTTGGGTCTACATCTATAGAACGGAGATGAAAATAGTTCTTACCTCAGACTGCTGTGACGTTCATCCCTGCCTGCCGAGAGCCTGGAACAGGGCCTGGCCCTTGTCGGCCTTCATCACCCTCCTTACGCCCAGCACAAGGCTGAACTGGACCCCTGCCCACCCCTGCCCAATATCTTCACCTGCCGTCCTTGTCCCTGGCACGAACACTTGGGGGCCACCCTGCTTCCCACCCAGGCTGTGCCACTAACACTGGGGATGCCCTGGTCACTCTACCAGGCTGAGGACAGGCTCTACTCTCCACCTGCCTGGACCCCCCTGCCCCAGCCCAGCCCATCCCCGTGCTCCATCCACATGCTCCAACCACAGCCCAGGGCTGGAAGACCCCACCCCCACCCCCACCCCACCTGCTGCCCTGCCGGGGCCCACCAGCTGCCTCCCACCCTGGGCAGAGCCGCCATCACAGCCCGGCCTCGCCTGCATCCCCTCCCCACACATTCCCAGACCCTGGACCCCCCTATGTCTGGAGAGCAACAACCCCCACCTCATTCCTTCACTCTTGCCAAATCTGAGGCATCTGCGAACATATACTTAGGTATCTGGCAGAGCTAGGTTCAAACCTGGCTCTACCACATGCGTGGCCTGGGGCAAATGCCTTGTTGAGTCTCAGTCGTCTCATCTGTAAAATGGGAACAATGACCTACTTCATTGGACTCTGAGAACAAAATGAAATACTAGCATTTATTGGGCAGCTCTTGAGGTCAGGCCTCGTGCTATGTGAATTTTAAATCTTTACTTCCTTTAATCCTTAGGAGGTAAGGATGCTTCATCTCAAGAATACACAGCAGCCGGTCCAATCAAGAAGAGCCTTTATGGTTCTTAACAAAAAGCTCAACAGTGATGAAGCGAGCCCACTGCCTGCCCCCAGAGGTCACAGGCCCCAGGTGGAAATGAGGGGATGTTAGGTACCTTCAGTCAGGTGCAGAGAAACCAACGGCAAGGGCGGGGGGCAGGTGAGGGAGTCCAAGGGTGTGGTTAGTGCCTCGAGGTCTAGCCCAGGAGGTCAGTCTTTTTGATAGTTCATGATTCTGAAACACTTCCTCCCGCCCCCCCAGCAGAGGGAGCACCAAGGGAGAATGTGGGAGAATGTGAGAGTACCCCCATATGGTAATGAACATGAGTCCTCCAGGTGGGGTTGATTGGGGGCGGGGATGCCTCAGCTGGCCCACTTTCCCTCCCCACCCCCCCCACCTGTGATCACTGTCTAAGACACATCCAGGGAATGAGGGGTGGATGCTCCCCCCCACCCAGCCTCCTGGGGGGCCCCGGAAGTCCCCTTCAGATTAGAGCTGAGGACAAGGTCAGGGTCTGGGGCATTTCAAAGACCAGAGGTCAGGGCCCACTTGGGACCTTGGACTCCAAGCACAATCAGGGCCTGGGCACTTTGGGTGAGGCCAGTGGAGGCTACAGTTCCCCTAACTCAAGGCCCTACCCTAGATCCTACCCATACAACCTACCTCTGCCCTCCCTCCAGGAACTCCAGCCTGGCCACCAGCACCTCGGTCCTTACTTGGGGCCTCAGGTCCCAGCTTGGCCACCTGCCCCCATCCCCAAGGTCCCCTTCTGGGCCTCACCTTCCTCTGTCCCCTCCCCACTGGGGTTGGCGGCCCCCTCAAGCCTCCAGTGCTGAGGCCCATCACTGAGCCAAGCGTTCTTCCGCCAAAACCTACTACTCTCCATAACAGGCAAGACCATGGCTGAAGCATGGACTGGGGGCTCCTCAGGCCTTCCCCTCCCCTTATCGCCACCGAGGAGCCTCAGGAAAGCAGGTCCAGACCTTGCTTTATTGAAGGGGAATACCAGATGGGAAAACCCACTCGCACCCCTTCCCTGCCACCCCTCACATCCAGGACCAGGGCTCCTGCCTGCTGGCTGGGAATCCAGAGCCCACCCCAGCAGAGGCTTACCTGCAGCACCCAGCTCTCAGCCCCACCCACATGGGCACCCACGGCCCCTCGGGCCCTCCCTGACATCAGGAGGAGAGGGTGGAACAAATCCCATGACTTGTGCCCCCAAAGCCTCACCTGCCGTCCTCCCTCCTTGCGAAACTGCCTGCCTCTGCAGGGCCTGATCAGACGGTGACCCCATGTGAGGTCTTCTGGGACTCAGGCCCTGCCTTCCGCCCCCACCCACAGAGGGACCTGGAGACCCCCTGACACCCAATGGGGAGAGCGCCTCCTGGCAGCTGCGCCCCCCGCCGCCCCTGTGGTTAGAAAAGGAGAAGCAGTGAGGGGCGGGCGGGGCCGAGGCAGGCGGGGGGCCGTGCAGAAGAGCAGAAGGGCAGCGGCGTGGTCAGGACACCTCAGGCGGCAGCAGAGGTGTGTCCGAGTTCTGTGCCGAGACGCTGGGGCACTCGGACCCGATGAGCCCGAGGCTGTACAAATTAAGGATGGAGTCAGCAATGATGCGGGCCGTGCGCTTCTGGTATCCTCCCGAGGTCACCATGAGGATGGGCACCTGGCGGCCACGGACCACCCGAAACACCAGTTCGTCCCGCTTCACGATGCCCTGTAGAGGGATGGGGGAGGGCCGGGGTCCTTGCAGCTTCGGAAGTCCCGGCCAGCCCCTCCCCCACACCAGGAGAAGCACCTGTGCCGCCTGCCTTGCCCGTGGACCCCACACCCCCCCAGGGGCCGGACGCACCTGTGGGCTGATGGACAGCCCCCCAAGGCGGTCCCCTTCCAGGATGTCGGTCCCTGCGTTGTACACCACCACGTCGGGTGGGTGCTCCTGGAGGGCCTTCTGGAGGTTCCGCCCCACTTTATCCAGGTACTCATCGTCCTCCGTGCCCCACTCCAGCTCCACCTTCCGCCTGATGGCCTCTGTGGGGGAGACAGGAAGAGTCCCGACGTGCAAAGAAGGGAAATAGGCTCAGGAAGGTCAAGGTTGCCTGGGTCCCTGTCAGTGCCCCAGGCAGGACTGGAAACAGTCTGATGCCAGCACCGCTCTGCCTCATTCTACCCAAAATGAAGCTAAAGAGCACCAAGAACTGCAAGGGGGACCAAGGGAGAGAAAGGACTGCAGCTAAAACACTCTGCCCTAGGGATTTAGAGACCCATGTGGGTGACATCTGATCTCATTGCCTCCTTGAGCCTCCACCTGGAAATGTGGACACCCTGCTGTGCCCTCAGGCCCAAATCCAGCACCTTCTAATCTCCATTCAGAAACCGGGCCCCTGGGCCACACCTGGGGCTGAATTACACTCAGTAGATCCATTGGCATAAATGTCCCCTTACTGCATAAATGTCCCCTATTTGCAAAGTGGCCAGGGTGCTGTGTTTTCAAAATTCATCTGGGAGTCTCTGCCTTTTGATTGGTAAGTTTAAGCCACTTGCATTTATTTTAACAACCATTATATTTGACTTGGTTTCTGCCATCTTATTTTGAATTTTCTCTTTATCCTATTTTTCCTCTCGTTTCTTTTTTGTCATTCCCTGTTTTCTACCAGACAAATGCATACGCAGGAGGGGTTCTATTTTTCTTCTTCTGGTGATTTCCCTAATGTAAGGACCCACACGTGTTGTTTATTGGACAGGTTTATGTGATCTTGGATGGGTCAAGTGAGTTAATTCTCAGTTTGCATGTCTATAAAATGGGAGCAATCCCCACCTCCCAGGGATGCTGAGGATAACTGAAGTGACTTCTGCAGAACCCAGCATGTAGGGAACACTCAGGAGAGAGAGCTCCATCCAAGTATGAGTGCACTTAAGGCTGAGGAAGAGGGGGCAGCTTACGCTTGGCAAAGCGGTCCCCGGGGTAGATGTGGCGGTTGTAGACGTCCATGATGTACACGCGCTTGTCACCCATGAAGTCCCGTTCGTGCCCATTGCCCTGTGGGGAGGACATGAAAGCTGCTTGCACACGGGCACCCTCAGCAAGGACAGGACCCCCGCACACACCCCAGGAAATGGCCCACGTGCCTGGGCAGCTCAGTTGGCCCTTGGAGGCAGAGGGTCTCTTGGCTGTTAAGCGGCAGAGCTGGAATTCAACCTCAAATCCCAGCCCCATGGTCTTCTGGTGTGACCTTGAGTGAGCCCCAGCCCTCTGAGTATCTTCTCCACGGACTGAAAAAGGAATTCTAGCCCTGCCACCCTCTCTGGTCTGTGGCAGGATCAGCGGGGGTCAGGAATGGGAAAGGTAAACTGGGAAGGGCTGTGCAGGTGTGACTTGGTACCGGAGTTCAGTGTCACAGGAACCCCCCCCAAGCAAGGCACCCACTAGCACAAAGACACAACAGCAGGGGTGTGGGAGGGGTCCTCGAGAGCCCACGGCATGTCCCGCCCTGTCTGACCAGAGGAGCCAGCCCTATATTTGGAGTCCTGAGGAGGAGGCCCTGCATTCTGCTGCTTCACCCCCAGGCAGTGAGTTCTTAAGTAGTGGCCTCGGGCCCCAGCAACCCTGAAATCATGCGTGCGAGCATTTGTCTGAGGGGCAGGTCCACAATAGTTTTCAGCTATCTGCAGGGGGTGGCACCCCAACCTGACTAGGAAGCACTGGGGAGCCACAGCAGGCTTTAGAACATGAGAGCGGCATGGCCAGACTGGGCTTTAGGAAGAGTCTTCAGCCTGGTGTGTTGGGCAGTCAGAAGGGAGGAAGCACCCTTGGGTTTGACAGAAGCAATGAGGAGGACCCAGTGCCCAGGATGGGCTGAGCGGGGCAGAGGGACAAAGACAGACCCTCCACTTCCAGCCCAAGGTGCAGAAGATGGGCAGCAAGGAGAGAAGCAGATCAGAGTGGGGGTGGCAGAGGCCCAGCCTGGCGCTTGGCAATGTTCCCAGGGGGAAGGGAGCTCCACAGTGGGGGGCCGTGTGACAGAGCTGATGGGGGCCTGGGGAGGCAGGGCCATGAGACCACAGCCCCCACAGGGTACTCACCTGATGGGCATCGAGATCGACGATGGTGGCTCTGGAGATGCCTTCCACTCGCTCAAACAGAAACTGCCAGGGGAGGGAGGGGGCAGTGAGGACCCACACAGGCCAGAGGACATAGCCCCTGGGGGATTCCTAGTTGGTGAGGGGTCAGGTGGGAGGCTGGACACACTTGTGGGCAATCAGGCCACCGGGAGAAGAATTCCCACACCCAGGAGAAGCCCGTGCAGCTCGAGAGAAGCATGTGTGCACGGTCAGGGAAGGCTCCCTGGAGGAGGCAGCATGTGCTGTACCCTGGCAGGCTGGAGGTCAGGAGCAGGGTAGTCGGGCTAGCCCTCAGAGACAGCCCAGGATTCCTAGGGGAATATATGCGGGTTGAAAGAGGGAACCTCCCCTCAAGGCTGTGCCTGGAACTTCATCCTGCATTCTCTGCCTTATCCTACAAGGCCAAGTTCTCATGTCTCCTCCTCTGGGAAGCCTTCCTTCCCCTCCCTCACCCTCTCGGAAGGTCTCCCGTGTGTCCCCCTCTCTGAATGGCCAGGGTCTGCTGACCTGCTTGCCCCGCTGCCCCCATTTAGTCTGTGTGCTCTGTGAGAACAGGGACCATGCCAGCCCAACCCTGACGCCCAGAACCAGGCCAGGCACAGGGTGCTTAAAGGGAACTCTGCAACTCAGCAGAGGTGTAGGCCAGTGCCCGCCCTGCCCCTCGCCTCTCTGGGCCGGGGTCTCCTCCTCTGTACAGGGGAGGAGTAAATGAGGTGAGGAGGGCAAATGGAGGCTGGCGCAGGGCTGGGCCTGCCGGAACCAGCCATCCCCATCATTATGCCCATCTCCTCCTCACTCCGGTAGAGCGATGTGCTCCCTATATTGTGGACAAATGGGCTGCCCCTCTCCAGTCCCCACCATTGTTGAGGCCACACTGTCTCCCCGCAGCACAGACAATGCAGAAGAGGAAGTGTCAGGTCTGGGTTGGAGTCCCAGCCTGGCTGTGCGACCTGCCAGCTTCCTCCCCTCCTGGGATCCAGTTCCCTTTTCTGTAATGTGGAGGAGAACACCCAGTTGGGGGTGGCAGGGGTGTTCCAGGGAGGGCTCCTGGAGCGAGGACCCATGTGCTCGCGGCGCACCTTGATGGCCAGTGTGATGTCCGCATAGGCGCAGAAGCCGCCGCCCCGGTCACTGGAGCAGTGGTGGAAGCCGCCACCTGTGGAAGGGCAGACGCGGTGTGGTCACCCACCCCCCCTCCTGCCCACACCCTGTGCCTGCTCAGCTCCCAGGGACAGGCTCCTGGAACTCCAGGTTGGCAAAGTGAACCGAGCACCTGAGCACGTCGCCATCCCCGAGTCAGGAGACAGCTTTGCCATCACCGCCATCCCTGTCCGGAGCAAGAAACCTCTCGCGCTGTCCTGACAAGTCAGCCCCCAGTGCCCATCACAACCCCCAGGGGCAAGGAGCTCATCTTTCCCAAGGCAAAAAGTTGTTCCTTGCCTCTATAGGGCCCAGGCCTGCCTCCATGTGACTTCCCATGCCAGGAAGGGGTGGTGAGGCTGTGGGGGACCTGTTTATGCTAGGACCACCCACATTCTGCAGGTGGTAGAAAGGAATGGTCAGGAAGGGCACCTTCTGCTGGTCATGGCCACCCGTGGCAATGGGAGGCCCTGGACACCAGGGTCTGGCTCCCACCTCTCCCCCACTCTGAGAGCCCACTGCCCTGCAACCCCTACAAGGACCTGAGTTTCAGGGCCCCACCCAGCAGGTCGAATCCAGGGCCCACGGCTACAAAGGACTGGCCTCTTTTCATGCCAACAGGCTGTCAGTGGATCTTAACAATGAGATAATAGCCAATCATGAACTCCTAACTGGGCACAGAGCTCACTGAAACCTCCCTACAGCCCCAAATGGGGACACTGTTATCATCACCTCCATTTTACAAATGAAGAAACTGAGGCACACAGAAAACCAGCACCTTGCCTGGGATCACACAGCTGACTGCCATGCAGAACCAAGATTCAAACCCAGGCTGGATCAGGACCTGGGCTCTTAACCTCTACCAGGTCATAACATCTTCCATGTGGGAAGGGCCTCCCTGGGTCTTTGTGAGGACCCTGCTGCAGACACACAGGGCATGTCTCCTTCAATCATCCACTTAGCAGTATAGCATAACATCACGGTTATGCCAGACCTAATGCTGGCTACCTGGCGATACCAAGATGGAAGAGCCCCAGCCCCTGGCCTTGCAGAGCTCACAGCCAAAGGTAGGGGTTCTCTGCTCTGGGACTCTGAGCAAGCCACCAGGCCTCTCCCCACACCTATTTCTTCATCGATACAATGGGACCGACAACAACAATGGCCAGCTCAAATGAGAGGCCAGACGGTAAAGAGCTTTGCTAACTGTGAAGTGCTGCACCTCAAAGAGGGACAGATGAGGACGAGACAAGGAAGATGTGTGTAGCCCTCCCATGAGCCAATCTTGCAGGAGAGTCCAGGGGACTGCAGAGTGCTGGCCCTCAGGCCCCTGAGAAGGCCGTGGTATTGACCCCGGGCCTGTCTATCCATCACGTGACCAAGGCCCTGTAGACTGTCCTGGGCCCCAGGAAGCTGATGGAGTTTTTCAGGAAAGACTCTGAAATGCTGCAGGTTTTAGCCCCACCCAGGGCTGCCCAGGGGATGGTGAAGGCTTTTGCAGAGGGAGTGAGCTCCTTGTCACTGGAAGTATGCAAAGGCAGAGCTGGAGAGCCAACTGGGGAACTCCTTTAGATAAGGATCCCACCCCAGATGGAGGCACGGGTTGGTCCCTCCCAGACACCAGATGGCTGCATACCCTCGCCCATCCCACTTAATAAGGCACCAGAGCCTCTCAACTCTTCAGGTTGCCCTCAGGTTCCTCCTGGCCCTCCCAGCCCCCAGGACCCAGCAGGCCAGGCTGGCCAGGGCACTCACCCACATTGATGGCCCAGCCTCGCTCCATGGCCAGCTTCCCTGCCTTTGGAGACAAGCACAGGGTGAGAGGCACAGGCAACCGATTCCCTCACTCACTCATTCACAGCTTCACTCATTCATTCCATAAACACCACGTCCAGCCAGCTCTGAGGTAGGGCTGACCTATGAGGTAGGGTTCAGGAGGCACCCATCCTCCAGCAAACTCAGACTCAGTCTTGGAAGCAAGTACCAGATTGGCTGGCATATGAGATGTGCGGTGCATAAGCCCCTTTGCAATTTTGCCAAGAAACTGGAAGAAATCAGAGTTAAGTAGTTATGATCACAGGTGAGCTGACAATGATCTTAATGGGGCTTTCAAAGGGAAAATAGACAGTTTTTTGCCCATGGAAGTATGGCAGACTGAATACCAAAATCCTGTAGGAAATCATTGTTTGGGGGTGGGCAGTCATATTCCAATAAACAAACAAACAAAACAAGGTACAAATTTGCAGAGCTAAAAAGAAAACTATCGGGATCATTAGGTCTTGATCCAGCTCTGGATTAGATCATCCTACATTTAAAACTGCAACGTGCCTCTACCTCCAATTAACTCAGCAGCCTGTGGCTAATTTTAAAGACAACTACATATGGGATACGAAACCTAATTTTGCTGCAAGTGTTCTTTACTGCCCCACCCATGATGCAGGGTGAGGGGAGCATCGCCCATTACTGAAGTCATGGGGGTTTGGTTTTCCATTTTGAATTGAGTACACTGAAGCCATAGTTTGAGGATATACTCTCTGGGGAATGGGGATATATCTTATATACCAGCAAATACGGTAACTCTAATAGGAGGTCAATGGGGGGGAGGAACAAGGAATTCAATGTCCTGGAGCACGTGGGAAAGCCTTCGGGAGAAAGAGTCGTTGTTGCTGTGCCTTGAGGAATATTCAGGATTTTGTTCAACTACAAAGCGGGCGGAGTGTATTCCAGATGGAGAGCCCAGGGTGAGCAAAAGCCCAGAGGCGCGGGGATCCGGAGCCCAGCAGTTGCTTCCGCCTGCCTCCCCACCTACCATGATGGTTCCTCCCGTCTGGGTCCGGAGGGGCTTCAGCACCTTCCTCTGCACAAGGAAGTTGGGGAGGAAGATGACAGGGGGGATCTCTGTGATAGTCGCAACAGCAAAGGACCACTGTGGAAAGAGACACAGGCCATTGGCCTCCCACTGCCGTGCCCAGAGCTCGGAGGCGGCAGTTGGGAAATCAGATTCCTTGTCATGCCAGTTTCAAGGTGCCCTGGGTGAGCTTCCAGCCTAGCGCAGTTCCTTTGGTCAGAAATGAGAGCCCCCCTCCCCTGCCCCCCCAGCGTTGGGCTCAGTAAAGAGCAGATTCCTTAAAGCGGTTGGCCCACATTCCTCAGTGCTCCAAAGCCCTTGGCTGCCCTCTTGTGCCCAGAACAAGAGCTGCAGAGGACTACCAGTGACCGGCTGCAGACCCAGCACAGGCCCAGCCCAACCACTGCACTAAAGGGGGGACACTGAGGCCCTGACCTGGGAAGATCTTTCTTTCCAAGGTCACACAGTGAGTCACTGGCAGAGCCAGGACAGGAAGCCCAGGTCTCCTGCTCCCCTGGCCCAGCATGACCTCTTCCTGCACTGGGAATCAGACCTACCTTCAAAAGGGGTATCAGGCCCTCAGCTCGGCTACTGAGGCAGGAGGGTCTAAGGGTACCCAAAAGGCATTTGCACCAAGATCAGGACACAGCCTTCCCTATGACCCTCCCCTGGCCCCTGGGCAAACGTCCACGCACCCAGATCCTGAACCATCTCCTGCCTGGCTGAGAATATACCTGGATCCACACTCCCTGCTCTCCACTGACCCCAGGCAGAGCCTCGGAGGGGCCCAGGGCACTCTGTAAAGATTTACTAAGTGCCTGCTGGGCAGCAGGCTCCAAGGTGGGGGCTAGTCCTGTTCTCCTGACGGGATGCGCAGCCTAGCCTAGCGGGGAGGCGCTTATATGCGACAAAGCCTTCAAAGGAGAACATGGTCTGTGTCTAGGTGGGAACAGAGAGGCTTTCTGGAAGCAGTGACCTTGAAGCTGAGACTGAAGATGAACAGGAGTTGCCCAGATGTCAGGATAAAGGTGAAAAGACAACTGCTTGGCAGACGGAAAGTGAGTCCAGGCTCCTGAGAGGTTGGGTGCGGCTGTGACAGGGCTGTGCCTGTTGAGTAGGGCCTGGGCTGCCAGAGAATGTTCTCAGACAGCCTCGTCAGAGCAGCGGGGAGTCATCAGATGATGCTTTCTCAAGCCGTTCTGGCTGCAGCAGGAGGACCAATTAGGGGAACTTGAATAGAAGCAGCAGCTGCCCCAGGGAGGAAGCGAGAGACAATGAGGTCCGGGAGAGGGGAACAGTTAGCAGATAGCACAAGGGGGATGGGCAGACGGAGGGGTCAAGGATGCAAGGTTGGAACCCCAAGACTCCAGCCCTGAAGGGCCAGGCCCAGAAGTATAGTCCACTCGGTCAATCGAGGGCTGTCCTGGGATAGGTTGGGGGGTGGGCAGAGGTATGGCGCTCAGGAAGCCAGGCAGAGAAGTTTCAGGAAAGAATAAGCAAAGAGAGGTGTTGAGAACAGGGAGCATGGCCACTGGGTTCTCCCACCAGGAGAGGAGATTTAGGGCAGGAGATGCCTGAGCATGTTCAGTGATGGGGAGGAGTCAGCAAAGAGGGAAAAGGAGAGGCCAAGGATGGGGTGAGACAGAAAGGGCACATGCCTGGGAAGGTCCTGGCAGGCCCCTTAGCCAGAGGGCGGCCATCGAGGTCAGGGCAGGAAAGGACACATGTCAACCACCATAGGGGCCACTGCAGCCACCCTGGCCAACAGGGAAGACGTTTTGTCAGAGTCCAGGTGTGCTGGGCACCCAGGCTGCCTTGAACTGCACTGACCAGCCGTGTGGGCACCCCTCCCAGGCCACCAAGGCTGAGGACAGTTGAAGGCCGGGGAAGCTCGCTCTGCTGCCTCGCTCAAGTGAAGGAGCTGGTGAGCATGGCCCATGGAACCCAGACCACTTGCGGTCTGAAAGGAGAGCTGCCCAGCCAGCCTTCCTGAAGCCCCAAGCCTCTGGCTGCAACATGGAGGCACCTCAGGGCCTGGGAGAGGGTGGGGTGCTAGAGCTGAGACCAGGAAGGTTGGAAAGCTCCAAGACCCCTCCATGTACGTGTGTATGTGCGTGTGCGTGTGTGTGTGCGTGTGCGCGTGCGTGTGTGTGTGTGTGGTGGGGGACAGACCCAGAGAGCGGAGGGTGGCCGGCTCTGCCTGCTGAGCAAGCCAATCCCACTGCCCGGCACAGGCCTGACGCATGGGAGGCACGGGGCCACTGTTTTCTATGAATAAACATTATAAAAACAAATGAGCCACTGAGGGGACACGTTAAGTCCCTGCCTCCCTCTCTCTCCCTCAGCAAGCTAGCGGGGAATAAGGATGGAAAGAAAACGAAACCTTATCCTGGCCTCCTGAGGGGTCCGCTAGAGACACTAAACCATGAGAAGGGCATTTTTTAAACTACGTTCCACAGCACCTGTCCAGCTCAGCACTCCCATCAGGAAACGGTTCCACGTCGAGTAAGTTTAAGAAACATTGCTTCTATTGTCCACCCCTTGGAAATTCACAACACACTCTGGCATGTTAAAAGCTCTAAATTGTGCAGTGAAGAATCCTGTTTAACTTTGCTTCACCCCGTTTCCCAAACTTTCTGGCCACAAACCTCCGTCGGCTGGCTTGACTTTTTACAGAACCCGTATGGACCTTCGAAGAGCGGCAGTCATCCGGGACACACTGGGAACCTCGTAGGCCAGAGGGTGAATTTTACATGGGCCAGGCATAAAGTCACCAGAAGCACGTCTGGGATTTGACCAAGGGGATCAGTTCGCCTGGGAGAAGGTGCAATGTCTGCCAATGTGTCTCCACTTCCGGCCTAGAGAGATAGTACTAGACTTCTCCCGGCCCAGCAGTGATTTCTGTGCGGGGCAGCAGGGCCGCCTCCTGAGGATCTAGGCTCATGCCATTCAGTCCAATGGCCACCAGCCACATGTGGCTAACTTGGGCATACCTTTAAATTGATTTTAAAAATGTTTAATGAGAATTTTGTTAATTCGATTAAAAAAAATCAACCATACTTCAATAAAAAATTAGAATTTTGTTTCTCAGTCTCGCCAGAGTTCAAGTGCTTAATAGCCACATGTAGCTAGTGGCTACTGGACAGAGCCCTTCTAGAACATTTCTGGCATGTCAGAAAGTTCTACTAGACAGTGCTGCTCTAGAAAAACCACCAGCAACCAGGGTGAAAAACAAACGAGGGGGCGGGGCAGGCTGGTGGCTGGGCCCTGGAGGATGGGGTGGGTGGGGAAGGGCAACAGAGGGAGGGAGGGCAGATACTTTATCTGGGACATGCGGCCCAGCAGGCTGAGATGAGAGCGCCCAGATCTGCCAGCAGCTCAGGCCCTCAGAGAGTCTGGTCCCAGGCAAGGGCATTGAGGGATGGGCTAGATGCCAGTAGGGTGGGGACAGGGCTCAGCAATCCTCCTCAGAGTCAAACTGGTCCAACTCGGGGTTCTGCCACTGCTGGGTGAATTTGGGCACGGCCCTTTACTTCCCTCCTGTCTCCTCATCCACGAAACAGGAGGTCTTCCCCACCAGACCTGAAATGAGGACTTAGACCCATCCACCAGGCCTGTCTTCGCCTTCCCATCTGAAGTACCCCCACCTGGGTCCCCCCTCTGACCCCCCACCCTTGCCTCATCTTTCTGCACAGCACCTGTCTCTACCTGACATTACAGTATGTCTCTGTTGTTATCAGTCTCTTCCAGAAGGATGCCAGAGCTAGGAGGGTAGGCCCACGCTCATCCCTGCCATACAGACAATGCTGAGAGCGACGCCTGGCACATGGTAGGTGCTCATAGCACATGCTGTCCATCCTCTCCCAGATCCCTACCTGCACAGTCCCTGGAGGAGGCCACCTCACCTGTGCCACCCAAGAGAGCCCCAAACAGTGACTGGCCCATAAGGGGCTAGAACAGCCCAGTCCTCTGTTCCTGAGCCAGCACAAATGTAGGGCCCCTCCTGGGGTCAGGCGAGGCCAAGCTCCTGCTGAACCTCATGAGTGCCCAGCTTCTTCCTGCATCCTCTCCTCATCCCACCCTCTTTTTCAGGTTTCACTACAAAGCTTGCCCTCCGGGAATCCCTTGCATCCCCATCCCCAGCGGGCTCGGCTTCTAGGGGGTGTGTCTCCCGGTGTAGTTCCTAAACCAGCAGCACCAGCACTTAAGAACTTGTCAGGAATGTAGATTCTCAGGGCGCCTGGGTGGCTCAGTCGGTTAAGTGTTTGACTCCAGATTTCAGCTCGGGTCGTGATCTCAGGGTCATGAGATCGAGCCCCATGTCAGACTCCATGCTCAGCGGGGAGTCTGCTTGAGATTCTCTCTCTCCCTCTGCCACTCCCCCCGCTTGCGCACACTTTCTCTCTCTAAAATAAATAATAAAATCTTTAAAAAAAATGTAGATTCTCAGGCTCCTCCCCAGACCTGAATCAGAAACTCTGGGAGTGGGCCCAGTGATCCATGTTGTGACAAGCCCTCCAGTGGATTCCAATGCTTAAGCAAGTTTCAGAACCACTGCTCTAGAGAACTTGACCCCTGAAGTGATGAACGAATGAATGAATGAATGAATGAATGATATGAACAAGGGAGGTTTGTCCCAGCCTAATGCCCATTGCCCACCAAAAGGCATGGCCTGCAAGCTTCCCCATCTCAGAGCCTGGCCCGGTATCAGGGCCTCCATGCCCAGCCAGCCTTTTGGGGACCCCACAGATAGCAGGACATACCTGAGGTTGGCGACACCTCTGGGACCCACTCCCACCCCATACTCTCAGCTCTGCAGGACTCTATTCTCTAGCTGCCTGATTTTCTCAGGTGGACCCTCTACCCTCAGAAATCCAAACCAAGAATTGCTCTCAGGGGAAGAGATGGTTGCTACCCCATTTGGAGCCCCAACTGCTTGGTTTGGGTCACAACTTTCCATCAGTGAAAGTGGGAGCAAAAGGAGAAGAGGGAAAAAATCCACATGATCATTTCAGTTGTTGAAGAAGAAGCCTTTGCCAAAATCCAACACCCTTTCATGAAAAGTCAATCAACAAACTAGGAATAGAAAAGAACTCCCTCAACCTGGTAGAGGGCATTTATCATACACACATGCACACACACACACACACACACACACACAATCTCAAAGC